TAATCTTCCCCGGCACTGAGGTCAGGCTGACCATGGTATATAGCTAAGTGGGCTGGATGCCTAACTCTTTAAGTTAGGAGTATAAACTTACAGGCTTCCTAGAAAATCAACAAAGAGAAAGACCCCAGAAGATGATTTGGCCCAGATCACCTGGGCTGAAGATCTGAATCAACTTCTGGAAATACGTCTCCTGTCTCAGTCATCTACAGGGCCTAAAGCAGCAACACCCTTCACAAGTGAAAGCCCAATGAACCAAGTCTCAATGGCACAGACAAATGCCAGGGCTCAGTACAGAGCAGAATTCAAGATTATCTGAATTCAGCTCACTCAAAGTCTCCAGACCAACCTTATTGCTATTGAATGATGAAGAGACCTTTAACAACAACAAAGCTGAAGGCAAAAACCACAGTTCAAACTGGAAAGCCCACAACATCCAACACACTGCAGTACTGCTAATGCAAAGCATGAATTGTGTTTCAGCTGGGACAAAGCAAATACAGCTGATCCCAGAACAGGGAAGTTTCCATACCGTCAGACAATTTCCTTTTAAAAGAAGATGTCTTAGATGTGCCCACGGGGGACCACTCTCCTGAACTGCCGAGGACAGAGCTCTCCTCATCTTCGTTTTCCAATAAAGAGTTTCTGTACCAAATCAACGGCTGCCACTCGTCTCCTCTGCAAGGCAGTGGTTCTGCTATGTACCTCTGTAAGTAAGCGTACCTGGAGAAAACCAAAAGCAAGTGTAAGAAAACCCAGTACCTTTCCCCTCAGTATCTAGGGAAGGTATTGCTAGAAAGGCATTTTCCCTTTATGCTCCAAAGGTGCAGACAGAGCTGTCGAAGAAAAAGAAAGGGCACCCCTTTTCTCAGAGATATCTGACATCTCTGAAATATCTCAATATTTAAAATGCAAATGCCTTCAAAGCTAAAAGAGTGCTTGAATTTTAGCATTAGAAACAACACCAGATCCACAGGAGTTGCAGAATCACACGAGTCTCTAGAATTTGCTGTGCAGGAAAAGTTACTGGCAATTGCTGCTGCCAGTCTGAACAGAGCAGAACTCTGCGAGGATGCACCCCTTCTCCTGGTGGCCCTTTTCTGCCTCATGGACTGTAACACAAAGGAGATCCCAGGCGAGAGATGCCCCTTGCAACTCAACAGTACAGCAGGTCAGCAAATGGGGTATGTGCGCCATGAGTGCCTGTTTTGTCAAAATTAAACCCAAGAACAATCAATAAAACCACTTTTCTACAATACCATCTCAAACTCAATCCAATTCTCTCAGGTTCCAAATAAAATTTCAGGTGTCTGCAAGAAGCAGTTAACAGCTCTGCAGTTCCATAGGCTGTGGGAAACATCGGTTCAAATCCCTGTTCTGCCTCATGCAATCCAAAGATTTGACATTGGGCCTCCCTGAATCCCAGGTGAAGCTATCACCGTTTCTGGAGCAGAGAGGTCTCAACTCAAACATACTTTCTGAAAAACAGGACGTTTCTGCCAAAGCCTTTCTGACCCATTCCTACTTCGTAATAATAAGAAAAGAAAACCAAAGTCTGACTGAGGATTAGGAACTGGATATTCACCTCGTACCAGCTACAGCTCATCACTTTAAAACCAAGCCCAGTGTTGTTAAAAGAGACCCCACCTCAGCAAATACCAGAACTGACAGTTTTAACACCAGCCTGTATAGTATATTATTCTTTCTTTGATTAGCAGTGTGGCCTGGAAAATATCAGACATTTCATGCGCTTTGCAAAACAAGAAAACCGGTGCTGGGAGGAGGTTAGGGCAAGCGTCGACTCCGAAACAATTAGAGTCCTGGACTCTGGGGGCTCCAGGGATCAAGAAACCCTGGTAATGGAATTTGTTGGTTTCAAACAAGCATGTATTGTAACTAACTACTGTTTTAGGGTCTAATCCAACTGCTATCAATGTCAACAGAAAGACTCCTACCGATTCAGGAATCAGGCCATTCATGCTGCTTGTTATTCAATAATTCATTTCTTGTGTGCATTTTGTGGCACAGAGCAATTGACAAGTCAGATATTTTACTGCTACAGGCTGGCCAATTACAGGGGAGGACGTTAAAATCTATATACTTTGATGGTGTTGAAATACGCTCCTTTCTAACAAATGCCCATATTCTGTATCTCATCTGTTACAGGTACATTCACATATGTTAATGTACAGACGTGAACATCAATTCTATGATTAATAATAAAAATGAAAATAACCAGATGTTTATTTCTAAAAGTTCATGTTGACCTAAAACATTCCATCCAGTAATTTATGACGGAGCTAAACCTAAATATTTCTAAGAGGAAATATAATCTCCAGCCCCTGCAAGGCATTTTAGGCCTCCCAGAATAGAAACTGTTACTCTAGAAACATAGTCTGGATGTAGTTGTGGATAAAATTGCAATTTCCCCCCTTGTGAATTTTATTGTTTCCCATTTGTTCCCAGCAGCACTGGAAAGGTCCAAAGCAGTAAGAGCTGAAGTCAAAGTGTATTCCCTGCTAGGTTCTGTATTTCCCACACAAAAGTTTTTCAATGAATAAACCTACCTGAATGTATCTAATACATTCAGGAATATACTTCTGGAAGAAGTTAAATATAGCCCTAGGAAAAAAATTGTCAGGATTTAGCTTTAAATCTGCCCACGTCAATGATGAAACATTTTCCTTGTGTTTAATGAGAAATTACTCCTTGGAGATAAATGAAATGACAAAGTTTTTCAAGGATGGATTAATAGCAATCTTCTTATTGCACAAGTGTCACCACACAGATGATAACAGCTCTTTAAAATCCAGACAATGTGGATGGAGTTATATAGAAACTGTACAGACTGGAGCACCTCCCCTATGAGGACGGGCTGAGAGAGCTGGGGTTGTTCAGCCTGGAGAAGAGAAGGCTCCGGGGGGACCTTATAGCGGCCTTCCAGTGCTTAAAGGGGGCCTACAGGGAAGGTGGGGAGATTTAGATTACATGTAAGGAAGAAATTCTTCACTGTGAGGGTGGTGAGGCACTGGCACAGGTTGCCCAGAGCAGCTGTGGCTGCCCCCTCCCTGGCAGTGTTCAAGGCCAGGCTGGATGGGGCTTGGAGCAACTTGGTCTGGTGGAAGGTGTCCCTGCCCATGGCAGGGGGGTTGGAACTAGGTGGTCTTTAAGGTCCCTTCCAACCCAAATCCTTCTGTGACTCTGTGATTCTATGAAAACCAATTCCAGTCATAGAGCTCAAAGATTCTCTTCAAGAAAAATGCAAGAATAGAAAGGGAAGTTATCACTACCCATAGATTATCCACTTCATATTTACCAGGGGTTATAATCCATATATGTCAAATACTTTTCTTCTGTATTTTGCATTTTGGGTTTGAATTTTAAAATATATTGTCTGGGTAGCTGGCAAGTATTAATAAATTGTATTTGTCATGTAAAGTAATAGGAAAGTAGACATTTTACCACTCTTGACCTTTGTTATATAAGAACTAGTTGGTGATCCCCATGGAAGTTAACCTCCAATTTAAGACAAAGTGACATCGGAGCAAACAAGTTACACAGGACTCAGCAGGAGATGATGGTTGGGGGTTTTTTCCATTTCTGCCGACTTCTCCAAAGTGGAACTTTTCCTGTCAGGTATTGGAGTAATTTTCTCAGAAATTCAAAAAGGCGGATGTGTCTTAATGTTTCGTCTTACATTCCCATGTCTTCAAATACCTGATAGATATATCGCAACAGTTTTTACAGTATCTGCAAACAGAAGTCTGAAGTGCAGAGATCCAGATCCAAAATAAGCAGAACTGACTGGGGAAGTAATGACAAAGGTCAAACACAAGGAAGAACATTACCTCCTTCTCAAAAATGACTGGAGTTGAGGCAAGTGAAGAAGGGAATAAGAGACATAATCATACATCTCTCTGTTCAGATGCATAATGCCCCATGATGCCAAAATAAGGCTATCTTTCTTATAATGTAAATATTTAAATGACTGTGAAGCACAGGCCTAACTGAATCAGGGCATATTCCCCTGTAAATAGCAAATTCTTGAATTTAAATATCCACATTATGAATAGTGTCATGCATATTTCTATTCCAAAAAGATTCCATGGAACTCATGTAATTGAGTCCTGAAGCTGTGGAATTAGATCATTTCAAAACAGTGATCCAGGCACTATCTCTTCCTCAATCTTTTCTGCTCTACGTTTCTGTTCAGAAAATGCCACTCCACTAGCCAGTCAAATATCTTCCACCAAATTAACATTGTCTTTCCTTTAGAAGACTTGCCATATGTGGACATAACTATGTCTAAAAAAGATCCAGAACGCACACTGCATATACAATCTGAAACAATTACTACTACAAAACTCAACAAGTGTCTCTCGAACTAACAGCTCCAGGGGCAGATTGATTTCAAAGGTTCTCTGAAAAGCCCTTGAGCAACGTGTGCAACACTGAAGGTCAAGTGTCCCATGTACAGCGATACACAAAACACAAACTGTGTATGACAGTGTACAAGGACTTAACTTACACTAGTCTTTTGTCTGGCTTTAGCAGCTTGTTGGAAAATTCACTGATGATTAACAGAAAGCTCAAGTTAGGAGGCAAGCATTTTCCATCTACTCCAGTAGCTCCTTGAAAAGCAAATTCAATCCCTTCCCTATTGGAAGAAAAAAAAAAAAAAGAACAGAGTAATAAAACAGACAACTAACAAAAGCAATGAGCACGGACAAAGTGATGTTACTTGGCACATACTTGTGTATCATGGCTACAGATTCTCTAGATTTCACTTGGTCCCAGCCAAACGTGAGTGAAAAGCGACGAGCAAGTTCTTTCATATTTGTGAAGGAAGCAGAGGAGAAGTCCACACGGCTCCTGCTGTCTTGGTTTTCTGCATGTGTCTGAAACAGCTGCAAAAGAAGCCTCAGAGAAGCAACTACATGTAATCCTACTGGCAAACAAAGCACCAGGAGGACACAGAGACATGCACAGCAAGCAACAGCTATCTTACACAGACAGAAGAGCAGGTAAGTCATGTGCTTCAGAAGCACACGGCTGGAACGATGACAAGGAACTGACAGAAAGGACCCTGTTTGCTTAAGAGATAGGCAGAAACTAAAAAATAAAAATAAACAAAATGATGTGCATAAACAGAGAACCACCTTCCGAAGAGGATGGCTGCACTGACCCCATCTCCTGTTGGGACTTCTGAATCAAGCCCCAGAGGCCTAATTTGCCTGAGAGGCTTTCAGAATTTCAGAATGCAGATACAAAGCAGCAAGTTTGGCAGCACCTTAGTCCAATTTCTGACAGTGAGGCTGGGTCAAAAGCCTGTCTCGAGCCCAATTAACTGTCTTGTGGGGTTTTTTTCCTAACAGAACACGGAGGTAGCTTGTTCTCCTCAACCTGTTAACTTTCAAGGTCAAGCAAAGGCCAAAAAGGGCCTGCTGTCTATGTGATACCTAAACACAAAGTCCTGACTATGTCAGCAGAATATATGTAGCCAAATGCTGCTTAGCCTCATCTAAGATCAGATTTCAGGGGCTAGTTCAGAGATCTAAGCCCCTGGCAATGCGTGTGAAATAAGCAAAGCTCATGTATCAGTACCCCCGGGAGGAGCCTGCTCTGTGGCTTACAGCACGACCCTGAGCTAGAAGCAGCTCTGGTCATGGGCAGAGCTGGCAAAAGCAGCTGCTAAAATAGCTAACCGGCCTCATCAGTCAGCAGCTGCAAGCCCCACCAACTGAGACCCTTCAGAAGAGCTGCGACCCACTTTCTTCCCGAAAAAGATAACGAAAATGCTGGGGATTAGAGCTGGCCAGCCACGGATACATTTGTGGTTCCTCAAATTCAATAGGAGTTGAGGTAGTCTGTGAAACACAGAATAACATCCTTAACCTTTGTTAAGAGACACCTACCATGTACCAAGAAACACTCTGTAATCCCACATCAGGCCTAACACACTAGGCATGTGAAGATTAAAAACGAGACCAAGACAAAGAAATCACGCACAAAATTACATTTTAAAACAGGTGTAATGATCTGAAGGGAGTTTTAATTATGACATGCAGAAACCACATACACATAGAAAGTACAGGCAAGCAAACGATTTCTTCCACTAGCTTTTTAAACTAATTTGAGTAATTACGGCAAGGTCGGTAAAAACCTTCAATATGAATACAGCTGTCATGAGAGCCCCTAGCCTCTTGCTTTAATCTTAACCTTACCTGCTGCAGACAGAGAATCAGTGTCTTGGCACTCTGAATTTTGTTATTGTGCCTCGTCTTGCTTAACGTTTCTTTAATTATGTCTCCAAAATCATTGTAGGTCTATTAACAGCAATAAAACAAATGAGAATTATCATTCCTCTTCTTCAGCACTGGGAGTACACAAAACACTTGACTGTGTTCATGTGACACGAGAACTTCATAAAACACTCCCAACAGCAGAACACCCAGGCTAAAAGATGAAAACTGGACTTTTTCTATTACTTCATATGTAAAGCAATGGTATGCTCCTTTAAGAGTAATATGAGGATTAAAGTTACACTGAAACTGTTAAGTATGTATTACAACAAAAGAATAAAGCCTCCTCGGGAGAGAAACAGAGAGTTTTCTGTATTTAACCAGTGCTTGCCTTAGGCCAAATGAAGTAAAGAACAAGATCCATATTCAGGTATTTCCAAAGCCCTGTTAGCTGACTCAAGGAAACTGCCCACTCTGTGCTGTTCTCAGCCCTCCTAAAACCCACTTCAGAGTGGCTGAAGCTCTACCAGTTGTCTGGACACCAAGATTCATGTGAAAACTAGGCCATCTGCATATGGACTGTGTGAGCTGTATGAAGTAAGTTGACTGCTTCAGTGTGAGAATCACTATAGTTAAAACACTCTCCGAGCCACGAACTGCTTCTCTGCAATGGCCTCTCAGGAGAAGCTGAGAAGCAGATGTTCAGACAGATGTACCCTCTGCTCAATTCTCAGTTAGTTTGTCTGAAGGTGAGGTACCTTTGCAGAGCAAAGAGGAGAGATTTGTCCCATTCTTGCTTGATTTTATAGCCCTTTTGTGATGATACAAGGATTCTGAGCTATATACCATAAACCCCACACCTTTCACAAACACTGGAGTCACTTTCAGAAACTAAAATGCACTGATAGGCAAAGCAACCTTATCTAAAACATTACCTTCACATAATACTTATAGATCTCAGCAGCCGCAGTCATCTCTACCACATTATACACTATTAACTTGCAATACGCTGCAAGAAGACTTCGCTTTTTGTGCAAGTCGTCAAGTTTGCAACTTTCATCCTTTCTCTCCTCCTCTTCTGTCAGGTCTAGGGAAACAAAAGCGTTGAAGCTTTGTTCTACTACTTTATTCAAGGTATCTCAATTTTAATGATCAACTTTCATCCAAATAGCACAGACTCAGCTGTTCAGTCAGCACGCTAAGCAACAGATGCTGGCGCTCATTCCTGTGTATATCAGAAAACACAGGTTTATTTCCATTTCAAAGCTTGCAGCTGATGACAGTGAAAACGAGTTATTTCCACAGTCTTCTACTGTGATCTTCATAGGGCTTTCGCATTTCTACTAGTAGAATCTCCTTGTACAATACTGCTCACAGCTACAGAACAGAACCAAACAGAGTGCAGAATAAATAGCACAAACACACCAAATGGAAGAGACCAGACAAATTGCAACAATACTTTTTCCCTAGAATAGCACAGATGCTGAGAAAACTCATCAGAAACCCTACAAAAGCTGCCATACACAGACAACAAGAGAAAAGCTCAGATGAAACTCTCCAAGTGGTTATCAACAAGAGTGCAAGAAAAAAGACATTTCATATCATTAAGAACATATTAAGTCTCTGGAACATGGGTTAATTACTAGCTGGATAACTTGTGGGAAACAAATACTCTTAAGAGTCTTCCAACATGGCTACGAAGGTGCTTTGGGAGAGCCTCTTGCAGCAGGAGAGCTGAGACACCCTCTTTCCTGCTGTGAATGTAAACTAGCAACTGCCAAAAGGCTTCAGTTTTTGACCTGTAATTGTGATGTGGGCTGTTTCTGCTTCTAGCACAACCGTGGGCCTGGAAACAAACATAAGGCAAGTGACTGATCAGAAGTATCTGCAAATTAGAGTTAAAACTAAAATGGAGCAGCTGCCAGCTGTGCGTACAGACAAGCACACCCATAGCATGACAATATCATCACTCACTCAGGAAGAAATCTACAATGGGATGACAAGGATCCTTTGTGGTGACGAATCAGAAACTGAAAGCATCATACAAAATAGGTTTGGAACAGATCTCAGGCCACCTAAACCTAAACAATTCTATCAGTTTCAGACATACAACATACGCAACCTGAAACATACATTGCTTCAAAAACTCCCACGGCTGGGATACTACAACCAACTTGAGCAATCTTTTCCATTGTATCTCTACTTTTACCAATGAGGATTCTCTTCCACCTTCTCCCTGTCGCCATTTAGGCTCATCACTTCTTGAACACGCGCGGTGACCTGAAGAAGTGAGGTGCCCAAAACTGAGCACAGAACTCCCCTGAACTGCTGAAGGACGAGAGTTTGACACAGTAACCTAGAACAATGCTTGGTTCTTCAAAGCGTGACATTTGATCTCAGCCTCAAAACCACAATGAACTAACAATCTATTTTCAAAACAATCCCAAAAGAAGCCAGCCTTCACAGTAACAGCCTCAATACGGCATCTGAATGTGTTTGAAAAAGGCAGCAGAGCAACAAATACTATTTCCCACTAAATCTGCCCCGCACCCCCAAAATCAAAATCCACTAGTTCTCCACTCTGATGGCTTAGTAGTGTCCATGCATTGCCAGAGTCACACTGTAACACCACGAGGCCTTCCTCTAACACCATCATCTGTACCACCAAAGGCAGTCTACCAAATACTTTCACGTTCTTACCCATCCCTGCATTACATCAGCCCTTTCCATCCTACAAGTAAATCGGCAGCTATTTCCTGTGGTTGATCCACAGTGGATACAGATCAGTGAATAACAGGTCAGTCACTTTGTTTGTAAAGGGGCCAAATCAAAAAAAAAAAGAGAGAAAAAAGAGAAGCCCTTTTCCCTGATACGTTCAGTGCAGACGACAAGTGACAGCAAAAGTGGTAGACTGTTTCTCCAGTGATGAAGATGTCTAACCTTTGCTTTCCGCTTCTTCCTCCATGAAAACATGTTCCTGGATAAACAAAAGCAGTTTTTCCTGAAGTAATGTGCTAGGAAGATAATCTAGAAGTCCGACTGCTTCTTTGTTATTATTTGAATCCTGATGACTCAAAATCAGCAACCAGTCACAGAGTATCATGAAGGCCTGTATCAAGCAAACAAAGCCGAAGAAGGATTTAGAGAGCATGTTACTTTTCATGCCAACTCCACTTCGTATCTCCATCAAACGCCACAAGTCACAATCTAGCTTCTATCCCACTTCTTCCTTGCAAGGTAAAGATTTCTGTCAGCTCCAACATGTGGTAAAATGCCACAGCTAAGCCCTTCCAGAACTTGTACCTTAGGATACAGCGTATACAAATATCATGCATGAACACCACTAAAGACTTCAACCTTCCATGGGAAGGAAGAAGAGCTGTTAATACGCTAAAACATCTCTTTTTTAACACGTGAATCACTGGACATTTTCTCCATTTTCCCATTTTTTTTATTTTTTTAAGGAATATTCATAGCAAGGCTTAATAAAGCAATGATAGCAACAAGTACACTGATCATCCTAATCAGAAAACACAATGACTATCGGCTGGCAAATTGAGTCATTCAGATTCAGGCCTTGATTCTGCAGATGGACCCATGCAGACACATAGCTATGCTTTTGTAGCATTTTAACTAACATAACTTTAATTTTCCTTTAAAATAAACAATTGAAGATTGCTTTTTTTAAGGAGTTACTTCTCTGCTAAGAGACAAAAACCCAGCAAAAATCAGTAGAAGGAAATACTAGTATGAAAAGAAAGGCAGGCATTTAAAAGAGGACTGAGCATGAACGCCAGTTAAGTGATAGAGAAACACAAACCTTTTCTCTGACATCTTTTTCCTTATGGTGGAGGAAGCACGTGCAAATCTGACTGAAACGTCTCAGCTCTCTTCTTAGTGCAAAAAAAGTCTCCTAAAAAGGTATTTAGGAAAAGTGACAAAACAAGTATGTTAGGGACTATGATTCAATAGAGAATTACAGAACAAACAACAGTTGCATCTTTCTTCCACTGATATTATTCATTTAAGACAGGACAGCTGATGACTTTATGAAAGAAGCTGACATCTCACAGTAGCCACAGCATACTAGCAATGAACAACTTTAAATCCATGTCTTGTTTTGAGGCACAATATCTGGGATAGAAAGGTCAATCCATAAAAATATATACTTTCCTCCCACTCTGGTGCAGAAATGCGACAAATACTAGTTAAGACATGTGCCTCTGTCACACTTGCTGAGGCTACTGGTATACAGCAAGTCACAAACTCACTCTTTCTCTATCTGTAGCATGGGCAGCTCTAATGGCACGTATTGCTTTATTCACTTCAGCTTATCCTTCTAAAGCAGTGACAATGATTTCCACTTTAGAGATGGAAGTAGTGTCATAAAAACTCTGATCCATCCCACCTAGTTTTCAATGTGAACTGCCTTCTGGAGTTGCTCTTCTTTCTCCCTCTATTGACTACTGAGGGAACGCAGTTTAACTACACTGCTAACTTTGGCACTCAGAAACTTAAGACACCTCTGTTTATCAGGCTCGGCATTAGGAAAGATGTTTTCACTGAAAGCGTTGTCAGCCATTGGAACAGGCCGCCCCACTGAAAGCGTTGTCAGACATTGGAACAGGCCGCCCGTGGTTGAGTCACCATCCCTCAATGTGTTTAAAGGTCCTTTAGATGTGATGCTTGGAGATACGGTTTAGGGCTGTACTTGGTAAAGTAGGGTCGACGGTTGGACTTGATGATCTCAAAGGTCTTTTCCAACCTGAATGATTCTTTGATTCTATTTGTTAAGATGAATCCAGCAAGACAGACCATTTGATTTGCCCGCAGCCACATAAGAGACTTTCTGATCCTTCACCAGGTCCCAGCTGTTGCACTGCACTGAGCTTTGAGCATTCAATAGAAGAGGAACGCCCTTACAGGAAGGCTGGATTTCATGCTATGCAACTGTATCTTTAGAAGAAAGGGGATCTATCCCAGGGCATGCTGAGAAGAAGCAGAGGGGGAGGCAAAACATTGTCTTATCACTACTGGGGGAGGAGGAGAGGGTAAGAAACAATCCTAGAGCTGTTGTCCAGGAAATGTTCTTTTTTGCTCTTGGAACTTCTCTCTCTGCCAACACCCAGATTTGTCCCTGCAGAGTGGGCTGCGACATTGTGCTTCCAATCAAAATCTGCTTCCATACGAAAGGCCAAATTGAAAAACGTGCTGCCCCATTATCAGTCAAGCTAACCACGTCTGGACCGAAAGGCAGAACATATTAGAGGAGTGAGAGATGCGGACATTCACACAGGAATGGAACGGGACGGGAATAGATAGTGAATCAGTCACCAAACGGGTAACCTCCCAGCTAGCATTTCTCACGCAAAACAAATGGCCGTGTCAGCGTCCTGTTCGGTACACACAGGAGCACCAGGGGAAGGGGACGGAATGACAGAAGCAGCAGCACTCCGGGTAGTCAGAAACCGGCACAAAGAGGAGCCACACAGGTACACATTCACACATGAACCAAAGCATAAAAGGGTTTTCCTCTCCGGCACTTTAAACTAGACTGTCTTCTGAAACACCTGCCAGAGCTCAGCACTCTATAAAATCAGTTAAGAAAGTAAATAGTCAGCTGATGAGAAAATTACCACTTTTGTCAAACTTCCTACCAGAAATATGTAAGTAAACGAAGAAAATAAAAACAAAACAAAGCAACAAGACTTTCTGGAGTTTTCACTGAATATTCTTTGTTGCTTAAAACAAGAAAACAACAAACTGTTCGGCAGTGGAGCAAGTTCCTTATCTCCATCAAGACCCAAGACCCACATGTTTTGCAGCAAAAACAGAGGTGAACCATTGTTCACTTATTCTCTTGCAGACTTAAAAAGCATAAACACTTTTCAAAAAAAGAGGGTAACACAGAGAGAAAATGCCACAACTCAATTCATCTTCCTCAAGAAAACACACAAATTATCTTCTTAAAAAGCTTGGGTTTTTTCTGGCCATCTGAGAACAGAAAAGCAACTGAAACTTCTAGAAGCACAACTCTGGGTTTCAAAATCACATGGAGTGGCCAACCTTGGGAGAATTTTCTGAAACTGCAGCTAGCTGCCACAGGAGAGAAAAATACGTGCACTGGAGAGCTGGCAGGATCATCTGCAAATAAAAACACATGTCTTTTATTTACATGAAAGGCTCAACAGCAAAAAGCTTAGACTAAAAGCATCTGAGCCTAACATTCTGCGTGCTGCTTGCGTGACCATTTCTGCACTGTAAAGTACCTAGACCCTCAAAATAAACTTAATAGGTTTACATAGAAGCAAACGTTGCCTCCTGAGAAACTTCATTACTAAGGCGCTGCTTCCGCAGAACTCTGACATCTTGATAAGTTCAATGGAAAGTAACTATGTACTAAAAAGAGTGCTCACAGAAGCTAACTTTAGCTTAGCTTCTCAGGATTTCTCTGCAGTCTTTGGTTAAAGGCAGACTCCTCCAGAGGGCAATTCAGAGCACAAGCCACACACTGGTGCTCCGATGAGCCATCTAAAGGAGTCCGCCTCTACCCACCGGCTGCAGGCTGTCTCTATTCAACTATATTTCACCTCTTCCCAAATTACCTCAAGTTCTTCTCTGAAAACAGGGGCTGATTAACGTTCATGACCTTGTAATCCCATGATGTACACCTCCATCTTGGCACAGCCAATGTTTGAGTTGAGGCAACCAGACAACCAAAAGGCTGCAGTTGAGACAACTAGTAATTACAAACCATCTTCACCAAGGGTCAATCTGCAAGCAACACGTCCAAAGTATTCCAGTTTCTGGTTACAGGCAATCTATGAGGGGCTCCTCACAGTCCCAACGATTTCATAGGTACTGAGAGCAAGACTGTGCAATCAATGGGAAGTACTGAGCATTGCAAAGGATCAATCCAGACGTCAGCTGATTATCATAGTTTCGGACAATCTCCAAAATGAACAAATCTATGGCATGAATTTACCAATTCCAATAACGTTATACCAAAGACAACCTCAGTCTCACAGATTGAGAAATGGAAACAGTATCTTCCTGCCTCATAGGACCTTGGTACATAAGGTTATTTAATATTTCCTAATCTTCCTGCTTTCAACAAGAAAAACCTCTTTCAATGTTAAATATCAACAACTCACCAGAACAGGCAAGCTCCCATGTTCCATTTCAAACACCAGCAACCTTAAAGTCTTGTCATACAGATTCCACTTTGTGAGATCATGGGCACTGCAAGTGAAAAAGAAACAACGATACACTAAGCAAGAAATGAAACCTCACCTGACCAAACAGGTGTTAAATGTACCTTATTTTTGCCTTCATCTGATGCACATCAATAACGTTAAACAACTAATTATCAATTATAAGGGGGGGGGGAATGAAATTGAATTTTTCACAATCTAACGCTGCAACCTTTAGTCCACAGCTTTACAGTCTGCATTCCTACCACAAAACTGCAGTGCCATGAGGAAAGGAAAAAGAAGCTTGAGCTCTGTACCTTTTCCTCTACTCTATCGACGCTAAGTGCCTAAAAAGGTCTGAAGAACAATCTCCCCATCCCTCTTTAAAAGACTGTTTCTAATACTCTTGAGTGTTCGCAACTCGATTTCTCTTTGCAAAAACAGAGCAGCCCTAGCATGCAGGACAGGTAAAAGACACACTGACAAGAAGGACCAACGCCCCCACCCTCTACTATCTTGCATGATAATTTATTTGGTGAACAATCCCTGGAGAACCAAGCTTTTGAGAAATCCATCTTTTAACGAAAGAAGATCAAATAAACTGAAACAAACAAAGCAGATTACATCTGCTGGGAAAAAAAGCCTGTATTCACTATACCCTCTTCAGACTGACCACCAGTGTTGACAGTAAGGCAGTGCGAAAGCATCCAGCTAGGAGGGAGGCACACGCTTCTCAGCCACATTAAGGCTGATGCTGCAACCTCAGCAATGAGTCCAAAAAGAACTCCATATCCAAAACCACGGTTCTGTTAAGAAGAAACTAAACCTTGCAGCACCTTTCACAGGGATCATTTTCATTCTCTTGTGAAAAATCTTATCAAACCCAACAAACAAGAGCAATTCTCACTTTGCACCTGTTAGGTATAAGGGAAAGTAAATTGCGTAAATAAACATCTCACTTATGAAAAGCTGCTACTCTTCTCAAAGCAGAGTGCATCCGGGAAATTTCTCCTGCATCTGTACAAAATCCTTCTTCCTAAATTATGAAAGTTTGGAAAAGAGAAAGGAATTAGCCAGTGCGGGGCAAGGCAACTGCTATGTTCTCTTCCCAACCAACCCACAAGCTTGAATTACTCTCCTCCAGCCCTCACCAGTCCCTTCAACTTTAACCATGCTACTCATCTCTTCCTCTACAGTAAAAAGAAAACAACACACTGACTGCACAGAAATTTTGTATAAGGAAATGCCCCTGTCATTAATAAACTCGCAGCAGCCTCCCTAGACTACAGTACTGCTAACATAGAGTAAAAACTAGCAATTAGGCTACCACAGAAGTGCTAACCCTCAGACTCACAGGCCATTCATGGTCCCTCACACAGTTGTTACAGATCTCTGGAAAGCTAACTGTTCACATGGTGCTGACTCTCCTTGCTTCCAGCTGCCAGATCACATTCAAAGATAGCTAAAAATATATTAAATACTTTCCCATAGATGCAACTGCTGTAGTTTCCACAAGTATACTACGTGATTATGGGAGACAGTATATACAACCAGGAATTAGAAGGGAGGGGTTCCAGGAGAAAATCTCTTTATTTAGATATGGATCATACTACGAAGGAGTTGAAGAATCCCTGGTCTAGCACTTATCTTGTTTCTCATAAGTACACATTCTCCCACATTGACATAGATATCTATTTAAGACCAACAAAATAAATCTAATCTGAGGTTAGGGGATTTTTTGGCTTGACACATTTTACAATATCCCAGTGTCCAATAAAAACCTGCCAGTGTTAACTCTCATACCATGGCATGACACCTGTTTCATGACGGCACAGTTGATCAGATCAGCTGCGGGCTTCTGTTGTTCAGTTCAGCCAGCAAGCTATTCATATCACCACCAGCTGTTTCTGCTTTTTAGAACTAATGAAAAACTTTGAGGGAGACTCTGCAGTCCTCCTTCAAGGGGAAAGTCATCATTTCAGAGACCCCAAAGCTATACAATTTGCATTACAGACTGCTGGTCTGGGTTTTCGTTTTTTTTTCCTAGTACTACCTCTACAGCCCAAGTGGCAGCACAAAGGACATCTTGTACACAGTCCAGTATGCAGAAGTACAGAACTATACCTTTTTGGGAACAGTCTCATCACCTATAGATCCACAGCACTTATTAGCTGATCTTGCACATAGTATTTTTGGCACAGTAATGGTGCAACTATGCAGCAACTACGGAGATGTGGTCCAGAAGACACAGGAGACATAAAATGCCCTGTTGGTGGTGTGGACTACAAGGCACAAATCCACCTTTGAAAGCTCTACTCTCCTCAAGCAGAAACAGCAGGCAAAGAATAGTTCCATATCCCCCTTAATTCTTTTGTCTTCTTTTTTCATAGGGAAACAGTCTGTTTATCTCCACAATGAGTCACACTCACCTTTTGCCAGAAGCCATCTAGTAGCTGGTTAAGCTGTCCCATCAATTCATCTATCAGTTGGGTTCGGGCACTATCCACCTGGCTATAGATAGGAATTTCTTCACTGCAGAGGCTATAATAAGTCCTGGAGGAAGCCTCAAGGACAGACATGTCAGAGTGTTTGGCCACAATGTCTTTTACCTCTCTCAGCAAAGCGTCCAAATGCTGCAGGTGATAAAAGGGGTATTACAGGTAAATTGTACAAAAATCCACTTATGCTTCAGATACATTTCACTAGGTCCATATATCTCTATAGGTCATACAACCAACATGAAAAAAATGCCAGTCTAAGGAGCAGAGGGGCAGGATTAGAGGATACAACTTTTATATCTCTTTTTCATTATTATTGTCTCTGAATCTTCCTAAGGCATGAAGCAACTGCTTCAAGTTTAACTACTTTAGCAATACACATTTGTCACTACATAAAAATAGGAAAGGTAGGAAATAAAAAATGCTTTTCCAAAGGACAAGTGTATCTCCAAACAATGGAAGTTGTCTCCCTCAGCAGCAGAGGACGGAGAATGTTTCAGATCATGTCAGCAACTGGCATCTTCACTCTTACTGAGAGGAGATAATTTCTGCCACTGTGCTGACTCCCTCTCTTCCAGTTAATGTTTTGTGCTGTAATTAACATAGGAGTGTTCGCCTAACAGCACCTCCCTGCAAACATCCCTGCTTAAGAATACATTAAGCTATTTCAAGGATTTCATCTATCCGTTTCTGACCATCCCTCTCCCATCAGCAGATATAATATCTCCATTCTTATCTTTCAGTTAGTATCACTCCTCAGCAGCTGGGAGTGGTCTTCAAGGAGAATGAAACCTATTCTGTAGTAAACTCGTGGGAGATACCAGCTTAGACACATGGCATAACCCACCCTCTCTCCACCCAACAATGAAAAACCCAGGGCCAGGCCTACCACATGAAACCACAGATCATTACCCAGGAGGGCCAGTCACAGCATATCAGAACAGACGAGCACTACGGCTTTTCTTTGGCAGCCCCAAATCAAAAATAAGACCACTTTCCTCAAGGTATGAGACCATTTCTTTATATTTCAACAGTCTCCTACTTGTGCTAAGTCCCACTAAACTCTGTACATTGTCACATAAATTTAATACATTCCACAGAACCAACTATCCCAATTCCTATTCACCTTCTTTAGATGTCCCGTACTGTAAATCTCTAAATCATAATACTGAGGAATCTGCAGAAGATTTGCCACTTTTTGTGCATCTGTTGAATACTGCAGAGAAAAAACAGGATATGAGTACACTGCGGGAATTTTAATGAAATATTTAACATGCATTCACAGAGCAGCTGTTAGTTACCTTTGCCAAGAGCTGAGGAAGTGCCATAATAAAGTGTTCAGTAATTTTGGTACAGTCTTCCAATTGTATTTTCTTCTCTTTTACTGACAGAATCTGCAGGTAAAGCGTTTTGTTTCAATTATGAAATCTCCTAGATGTGAGTGGAATTCTACACGTAACCCCAGGTTAACCCACATGCCTTTCTTTAAAGCATATCAAGCTAAGATAAAGATACTTTTCCATGGAGGCAACCAGATGCTTTTTTATTTTTTTATTAACCTTAAATTAGATGCAAATCACTGAACAGCTACATCTCATGGATAAAATGCCCACAATTTGTCAATAGCACGCTTCAACTGGCTTTCCTCTAATGCTCACCTCCTTCAACATCCACTACTAACAAGATCTAGAGGTCAAAAGACACTGTGTCATTTCATAAAAATTAGCCATTTTATTTCCCAAGATATACCTACCACTAGGAACATGCTGTCTGGTAAAGCACATAAGGCAAAGAGAATGTGATTAGAGGACAATAAATAAGACTAAGATGCACTGACTTTTTTGGCTGCACCTCTGCCCACTGGAGGATGACCTTCAGCTGCTTCTCTAACCGTTGCGAGGATAATTTCAATGAGAGCACTTTCATGGGCATCACTCAGTGCTGTAAGTAAATCAGTTTCCTTTCAGCATCACACAAAAGAAAAATGAAGATGCAGCAACAGCTAATGTAAAGCCTACTCATTTATCTGAGCAACTGTGGAAGGACACTACAGAAAGAAAGACGCAGTGTTGCTAAATAAACACCTAGAGACTGTTTGATTTCATTTGAAGAAAGTTATTTTCTACATTTACTGAACACAAAACCAATTACTCCTCTCATGGCTAAACTTTTTAGGGCAGTTGGGCTCCCAAAAACACAGGGAGTTTTAATGAGGCCTGCTCCTACTGCCTACTACCTCTTTTAGGACAAACCTGCTTCTTTGAGTACTTTATGCTTTAACTCACTGGGTCTACAAACTTTGATTTCAATCACACAACCACCTCCAGTTCTACTACAACAACTATTCACAGAATCACAGAATGGATTGGATTGGAAGGGACCTTAAAGACTTATTTAAGTTCACTTTAAAATAATTCTACAAAAGACTAATTCTCTGGAGGGTTAGATGTCAATGAACTTAACACTCATATTCTTTTCAGGCATCAACAACAGCCCAACAATATTGCACTTCAATCAATTAATACTTTTAGATTATTAAGTTTTGGACAAACATGCAAAAAAGCGGACGCTACATAAGCACTCTGGCTTAATTATGCAAGTATTCTCGAGAAGTTTCTAAACTAACATTACATAAATACAGAATACTGAATAAAACAAATATGTTGATATAAATACCACATTGGCAGTGCATTGAGCTGCATCTGCTTTGTGATCCTCAGGGACCACAATTTGGGATCAAAGGGTACTGCAATATGGAACGAACCTAAACTAGCTGAGGGCAAAGTTCGAAAAACAGTACCAAGAGATTCATTCAGACAAAATTAAGCTCTCTGCCTACCCACCTTCTCCATCTTCTTCAGCATTTTTTAATAGAAGAGTGGTCATGCACTCCCAGTCCTTCAAGAACTTGCCTGCCCAGTCCCACAAGCTGTCTATGAGATATGCAACATGTTTGTGTACCTAGGGATTAAAAACACAAGCTTACAGAAGCAAAAACATCATTAAAAGAAGTACAGCTTCATACATTCCTCTCCCTTTTTCCAATTAGAAAGCTTTCTCATTCACGCATATATTCACACACAGTATTCCAACATATGTAGTTTGAAGCTAACCAACATTTAAACACCCTGTCTTCAATCTGATACAAAGCAGGAAAGTGGGGGAAAAAGCAGGAAAAGCAGGAAAAAAAGCTTTTCTTTTCTCTTTTTAGGATACCTTTCCTTTGTAATTCAAGTAATCTCTTTAAAACCAGCTTCTGTATTGCTTTTATATTGCTGATCACAACAACTGAAAATCCAACCTTGGGACTAGAAATGAGTCAACATTTTAAGCAATCTCTGTGAAACGCTTTGCAGAAAGATTCAGAACTGCTGTGCCTGAAACACCTTGGCCAGATGTAGGTCTGCACCACTGCAAAAGCCAAATAGTGAAGTACAGCCCTTAAGCTGATAAAACTCTCAGTAAAACTGCGCAGTTCTTAGTCAGCATAGAGCCATGGTACAGCAACCTGTATCTGGCTGCAGAAAGACACAGACACATACCAAAAACCCCTCACTCAGTGGCATTAGTCCTTCCGGTTGTTTTCAGAAGCTGCTTCAGCACTGATTCTCTCCATTAGCACAGTTGTAAATTAGTTTTAATACAACCGAACAGAAATGTCTTCATTAAAAACTCCTCCTAGAGAGTGAAACCATCCCAATCACCAAACATTTCAGAGCTCCAGAAATAGTTTTCAAAAGGAAGCCAGTACTTGATTAAACATGCAACACTGGATTTAAAAGGTTTACTGCAGAGGCTGTTCTCCTCACCTCACTCTCCAGGAAAAAACATATTAATCTTTTCAACTGGTCAGTACTCGCCCCAAACTTCCCTCCTCCTTTGGGCTGAACTTCTTCATCTCCCTCATGACTAAGCAGCCTGCCAACAGAAAAGGAAGTCAGTCCAGTTCTGCCACATTCTCCTTATACTCATTTGCCAAGGTAACACTAACTCTGTCAAGATCACAAGGACTGCATTTCTCCTAAATGTCTACTTATTTACTCCAGATCACATTAGACATTTTTATCAGAGGAAAGGAAAAAAGATTAGATTGTTTTCCATCATGAGAGATTCGCTACGCCTGTGGGTGCAGACTATTTCTGACAGTTTCACAGGTACCTTGCCAGCTTTCTGGACAACAGATGCAGATTCCACAGTGTTGAACATATAATGAGATAGGCATTTGCTCATGTTTGAAAAGCGGCTTGCCCTAGGCTGAATTTAAACCTTAACAACAAAGTAGAGATATTACTACCCAACCATTATTCACTTCATGATACATCTTGGAATTGAAGATTCTTAAGGAAACCACAGTATCTTGTATTTATAAGAGGCAATTTACTCCACCAATACAGTGGAAAAATGGTTCTTCCCCTTCTGTCTAAAGTATGAAGCACAATATGACAGCTCAATTTCCATTTCTCTCTATCCAAAATGAGCGTGACTGTACTACTCATGAAAAGTGCTAATCCCAAAATAAATACAGGAAGGCCATCCCCACAGATTAATGTAAGGTCCAAATGGCTTGGCTTAAGAGCAGGACCACACTACTCAATGTCAGTAAAAGCTTATACTTTCATAAAGTGCTTCTGTTGGTATAATTTATGCCAGCTAAGTAAGTAACCTAAGTTAAAAATGCAGACATTGAAGAGATTTCATGCAAATGAAGAAGAAGTGTGTGGGGAGGGGGGCAGGCGTGATGCAGAGCAGAGGAAGCATAAGCATTTATACTAAAACATTTAGGAGTATGAGCAGGGAAAGGAGGGTGTCACTAACTTCTCTATTACACTGCAATGAACATTTCTATACTGGCAGAACTGCTGGAGAAAGGAACTGGGCAAAGAAGAACAACGAAGAGGTTTACAGGGGTCAAAGTGTCCACATTGCACCGCGAAGCTAGGTAGAAAAAGGAAAGTTATCAGGGCAATCACTTCAATGGCAAAAAGCAGCAGCGTTCTGAGAGGAAAAACGCCTGATGTATGACAGAATATTAGGACCATCACAAAAGACTAAGTAAGACTAGCAGATGTGATAGAAGACTCGTCAAAACAGAAATTTATCTCCATTTGTCTTTCTGTTGGACTTGGCTCTACAAACCCCAGAATATCAGCAATTCAGCTAAACAGGAAAAGACAACTAGGAGGAGATTCTGCATGCATGGAAACACAAATCATCATTATTTCTGAATTTTTCCCCACAAGTCTTGCCAAAATATTTTTATTTTCATTCCTCTTTGTAAGGCAAAATTATTTCTCTCAGCCGTAGAGACAGAATATTTATTTCTTCTCTTTTTAGCACGCCAACTCCATTCACTTCATGCAACCATTGTTATAAGAAGCCCATTTATAAGAGTTACTCCTGGGGAAGATAAACCCTGTACTTCATTAACCTGACAGAAAATTGGGAGGACTTTTTAATCTGCTGCATCTCTCATTATTCAAAGCCTTTACAATGTATACGGCAACTTCCAAAGGGAGAAGAGGAGGCCATTTTTGTGATTAATCACCAAAGCTATGGAAATCCAGCAGATGCCAGGTGATGAATTAGCTTGTAAGAAGCAAAGCAATAGGAAAAGAAAGTAGAAAGAAAGGAGGTATGCTCTCAACATAGCATGGCATCTGTGGATCAGTCAGTCGTTTCATGTTCTCTGCTTCAGTCCTCGCAACTTTTCTCATGCCCATTGTGCCAGGGCTGTGCAGGGGAACAAATGATTACCCCCAGACGGCATCTCTCTTCTGATTCAGCAGAAGAAAGCACATCTACTACCCTCATGGTACACACTTCCAGCAGAAAAATGAATGCTTAATGTCCCTCTTAAAAAAATCCACCTTCATTCTGAAACAAATGAGAATATGCAAGAAGTAGGCATGCAGGCAGGCAGGCAGGCAGAGATACCTTTTATAAAGGAATTCCCCAGCTGCTACTGCAAGCGGACGGTGTGTGGTATAAACAAACTGGTATAACGTTTCGCAGTCTTCAGTTGATAACACATCCTCACAGTTCCTAGGCAAAAATAACAACGGAAGTTATAGTTCAGGTTTATCTGCAAAGACTATTATGAATGCTATATCCAGCTTTTACTAGACTTGATTCTCCATAGCCGTGCAACTTGTTTACACAGCTAAATTTTTGCAGGGCATATCTAAAAGTGCTGTCAAACAAAACTGGCAGCATTCTTCTACTCACTGTGTAGAGACACAGAGGTCTGTGCAAGCCATGACGAATCAGGCCCACTGCATGGACATGAACATTAATTTAAAGTATAATTAAGGTTGATTAGTGGTCATGGTAAAAAGAGTAATAGTAATAAAACAGGGAAATCATGCCTCTACTTTATGCTTAGATGTTCACCATAGAAAACAATAAACAAGAAACTGCCTTCACTTTGCAGTACAAATTATTTTTAAATTATTTATTACAGTATTTTAAAACCTATATTCTATTACATTATGCTTATACAGTCACATGTAAAAAGAAATCAAAAGACGTTCTTGATAGTATGCTTCTGACTGTGACCTTTCTGCACAAACACACTCAAAGTCACAATTTTTTTCATTCAGCTACACATCCTGAGAATACCACACGCCAATTAGTAAACCTAGAACACTCCAGGTAGAAATGGTATTAATATCAATCTTCTACAAGAAGGAAACCAAAGCGTCAAGGTTGAATAACCCACCAAAGAGATACCAGAGGAGTGAAGCCCAAAGCAAGGATTACAGTTTCAAAATGCCTGCTTCTTACTGCCATAGCAATGTCATTGGACTAAGCTACTTCCAGGACTGATACAGCAACATATGAGATCCTTACACTTCCTACAGCCAGGTGAGGGGAAAGGGTTTTTATGTATTACTGCACTCAGTCCTCAGGTAGTAACAGTTTAAACTGAGGTGGTCCAATTCTCTAAAACTGAGGATAGATTCATGCTCTTCATTTACTGGGAATGATGTCTTCCAAAAATGAGCAGCCTTTCCTGCGCTTGCCCATTTTTCTCCAAACCCATTGCATCCTTTAGCATTCTCCCAAGTCACAAAGCCCCAAAACATCCCCCAGCCCGACCGAAAAAAGCGAGCTCACATTAGGTGAGAGTATCACTGGAGTGTCCACCGCAAATATTTTTTAGCACTCTCTGGGATTTAAAATCGGGGCAGGGGTGAGAGTGGGAAAGACAGCACTTGTTTCTCAAAGCCAATAGCCTCTCATTTATAGAAGTTGATACCCTATGAATTTTAGCTTTACAACGTATTTACTCACGTATCACTTGAATTTTTCACATTTTTTCCATGGTTGCTTACAATGGTCACTAGAAAAATAAAAAGGTCTTTAAACGGAAAGTGCTGATGGTACATCTCTGAAAGTGATGGGTCAATCTCACAAGGTAATGCTTGCCCTCAACCAAACAGAAAAGCTGCCTTACATACTTCAGGCAGATTTTGGCGGCCTCTTTTAACACGCAATTCCCTTGAGTATATATTTGTGGTAATAGGGACACATAGAAAGTGCTCTGAGTACATATATCGTGAAATCAGCATAAAGGAAAATATTTATGCGACTCTTCAGCCATCTACAGAACTGGGGAAATAGAGTAAAAATGTGTTTATTGAGGTTAAACAGTAAGAAAATGAAAGAGGTAATGTGGCATTAGAGTATTTGAATACTGGTGGGTCCTGTGAAGCCATGAATGAAGTACCAAATTTATTGAACTTCTATGAGTTCAACAAGTGAGAGTAAAACAAAGACTGACAACAAATTACAGGAGTAAAAATACACAGTATAGCAAGTCTTTATATTAAAAGGCTATAGGGAATTAGACATAAACTAGCAGTCTGACAAGATTTCTCTCATTCTTTTTAATGTCAAGCTATTATTTAGTTATTTTAAAGCACTAGTTTCTATGCAGCTGCCCTTTGTAATTTTCTCCATATCTATATTATTTTTAAAAACTGTGGACAGCTTGAAAAAGAAGAAATTTCTGTACAAACATACCACGATGTAGAGTGGGCCAACAGAGAATCACAGAACAGCTGAGGACAGACAGCACCTCTGGAGATCATGTCGTCCAACCCCGTGCTCAGAGGGGGATCAGCTAGAGCAGGGTGATGAGGATTGTGCCCAATCAGGTTTGAATATCTACAAAGTCAGAGACTCGACAACTTCTGTACTCCAGTATTGGACCACCCCCACAGTAAAAAACTCATTTCTTACAATTAAATGCAATTTCCTGTATGAACATACCAGTCAAATGTACACATTTTTTAATATTTAATTTTTTATTCTTTATATTTCAGATTTTCTCTTCTTAGCACATTTATGGAAATAGTGAATGCAACACCTATGTGTCTCTATTTTAAAAAAATTCCTTGCCCAAATTGTTCAGATAGCTTGAAGAGCTCAGTAACATGCCTGCCATCTCTTCAGGTGGAAATTAAGGACTCTGCCTTTCAGTACAAATGAAACTGCCATTGCTTAGAAATTTCCGTTCCTTAGGAAAGGACCTGGGGGTCCTGGTGGACACCAAGTTGAACATGAGGCACCAACGTGCCCTTGCTGCAAAGAAAACTAATGGTACCCTGGGCTGTATTAGGAGGAGTGTTGCCAGCAGGTTGAGGGAGGTGATCCTTTCCCTCTACTCAGCACTGGTGAGGCCACACCTGGAGTGCTGGGTCCAGTGCTGGACAACCTGGTATGAGAGACATGGACATACTGGAGAGAGTGCAATGAAGGGCCATGAAGATTATTAAGGGACTGGAGCACGTCTCCTACGAACAAAGGCCGATAGAGCTGACACTATTCAGCTTGGAGAAGGCTCAGATGGGAACTTACCAATGTATGTAAGTACCAGAAGGGAGGGTGCAAAGAAGATGGAGCCAGGCTCTGCTCAGTGACAGGACCAGAGGCAATGGGCACAAACTGAAACACAGGAGGTTCCCTCTGAACACCAGAAAACATGATTTTACTGTGAGGGTGACAGAGCACTGCAACAAGCTGCCCAGAGAGGTTGTGGAGTCTCCATCAATGGAGATACTCAAAAGCTGTCTGGATGCAGTCCTGGGCAACCAGCTCTAGGTGGCCCTGCTTGAGCAGCATGGGTTGGACTAGATGACCTCCAGAGGTGCCTTCTAACCTCAGCCATCCTGTGATTCTGAAATCCCAACCTCCTTGTTTTTAACTTTGTCTTCAAAGAGGCAAGGAATTTGCCCTGGTTACATTAACCCACAGCAATGTTATTTCCTCCCTCCTCAAGACAAAAGTAGGTCAGACGCAATACCTCTGGCCATGTATGAAGCATTCCCTAACAGCACAGAAGCAAAGGAGGGGAAAACAATCCATTTTCTTTGCAACACAAGCTGACAGACACTCACGACACCAGTTGAGCACCTGATCTTTTTGTCTTTCTTGAATGGGAGGGAGTACCTGTACGTACTACTACTACATTTCACATACTGCTCAACCACTGCTCTCTGTGATACAATGATGCCTGTACTCATAATTCCCACGCAAATGAGCGCTCAGGGGTTTTATTTGCCTCTGGAAGTAGCAGCACTTGACTACACCTGCTACCACTAATACTACCACAGTAAATGTGTGCCTTTCTTTTTTACATACATAAGCCAATCACCAAACATTCAAAGAATACTTCAAATACAGAAATAATACTGCTGCAAATTTACAGCCCTCAGAATGCCAAGCAACAGATAAAGGTTAAGCCAGAAGTGCCTGCCAGTGTTTAGGCGCCTAAAAATAAACAGGCATGGCCTTCCACATACCAGTGTCATGACATACCATTTTCTCTGCACTTCAGTGTGAACATGTCACGAAGAAGTTGGGATATTCTAGGGGGAGATCACAGACCCATTTTGTCCTGCATATGGCACCAGTTGAAAGATTTCATTTTGCGCTTTTTGCTCCATATTACTGTATGTAAAAGGCACGACTGCTGGAGTCACCTCTCATGGTCTGTGCTATTGTTTATACCAAGGATAATCATCAAAATCACAACAGTAAAATAAAAATACGTATGATGTATTTTTCAACTTTTCAAAGTTTTTTCACTTATTCTTTTCAGTTTTAATGGCTGTGCAGCAAAATATCTGGCACACATTATGAGGACGTTGGTAATCGAAAGTATGGCATCTCAATCAAAAAAAAATCTGTTAATTTTGCATTTAAAATTAATTCAAATTAAGCATCCAAATCTGCAAATACATTGTAAAAACATTATGCATGCACTGAGCACTATCAACCAAAAAATATATGTTGAAAGTATTCTAATGTCTGAGATAGTCTTTCTACCCTTCTGTCATTACAGGTATTTCAAGATGACACTTTGGTGATCAGAGACATGGTAACATGGTTGCCACTACAATATAACAAGAGGTTTTTTCCACCCACTTTAAAACAGGATCAGCATGTTGCAATACACTGTGATTCCATGATTATGTTGTGACAGAACACAGGGAGATGCACATTAGACAGATGCTGTGTAGTATACTGTTTTGGTTAAGAAACGTAACCCTAAGAGCTATGCAGTTCTTACTTTTTCTTGTTAACTCTTCAGACAGGAAAGATAAGATTTCAGAATAGATCTCAAGGTTCTTGAATAGAGGTGCACGATGGCAGAAAATATAAAGCATAAACCTGAGAGGATGGAAAAGAGGAGAAGACAGAGGAGAAAGCAGGTGCCTTTGTTCCATTTTGATCTTTCACTTTTGTTTTGTTTGGAATAGGCTTGACAAAACACTACCATAACTCCACCTGATTAAGGGTTTGGTGTGCCTGAAGGAATCACACAGGAGCTCCATGCCGTTCCCTTTCGACAGTACCTAAACTGCTACAAGCAAGTTACTGATGCAAGAAATCAGAACTGTGCACCATAATTTGCTTCACTGCTTCATACAGTCCTTCTATCCACGTCAAGATAACATTTCTTTATTTTTCCTAAAAGCCACTAAAACAAAGTTGGATAATTTCCTTACTTGTATGCAAAGCATGTCTCCTTCTTGACCTTATTTTTCACAATCACATGAAAACACTTCTTATAATAGCATTTAAGCCTTCAATAAGCTTAACCTTTTCTGCACAATGGCTTGTCTGAATAACCTTACTAGATACAGTGCAATTTCTCCTCCGAAGTCCATGACTTAGCTATGAAACAACACTACAGAATCACAGAGTTCAGCTCTGCTGACACTGAATTACTTGTCATGGACATCTGCATCTATCACTGGAACTAGTAACATATATTATATTATTTGCCATGGCACCCTTTGCCAAATGCAGTTTTCAAGTTTCTCCTACGGTGTAGCCCCTCCCTCTCCAAACTAAAACATCCTTCCCAGTCTAGTTGAGAATCGGAAGGGAGACTAAGATTTTTAAGCACAACAGTGATATACCCCTACTTGACTTGGGCCTCCTGTGCTTTGCAGGACACTGGGAACTTACAAGCCTCCATTTCTTGACTTAAGTTGGATTAACACTACTGACCACTGTCAAAGCACTGTGGTGAGAATTAATGTATTTATCAGCTCCATTAAACAGTTCTAAAACTATTTATGTGAAGTCCTCAATGACTGTAATATACTCACAGTTCTCACCAAGGCAGCTCTTCCAGATTGCAAACTTGAGAGAGTTTTGTGTTTAAAACTCAGTTTAATCTCTAGTTACATTTAACTAATGTTATACAAAGTAATTTTCCCCTTTGCTATTTACATATTCAAGCTATTTGTAAAATTGCATCCCTACCTGTATCACTTGTAGCATTTCCTCATTCATCTACTACAGTTAACTAATTACTTTTGCTACTCTTTTCCAAAATCCCTCTACTCTTTTAGGCAGTTAAGCACACAAAAATGAACAGAATTGTCTGGCAGCAGGCACACTAGACTAATTTGCTTCCTAAAGGGCAATGTTTTCAGTAAGATTCCTTGGGTCTCTCATTGTCACTCATGTTTTCTCCCTCTTTATTTCCTTCCTAGTTCTATTCCCTCTCAGATCCTTTGCAACATTAATGCTAACAATTATGCATAATTCAGTAGCATTAATAATTTCTATTATGCTAAACCTCATAGGCTCATTTCAGTTTCAGGATCGCATCATGCTGTGTAAAAATAGAAATCTACTAGCGAAAGACCTTGGTATTCAATTGAGACAACACGCAACAAACAAGAAGAAAAAAATCTCAGCTCACAAGAGGTAGACAAGATGAAAATACAAATATGGATTTGAAAAAAAAACAGGTATATGCATAGCAAGAGGGTTTTGAATCATCACCAGAATTTTTTTTTAATAATGCAACACATCTAAGTGAATTGAAAAGATCAATGTTTTCACTGCCTCTCTAGCTAGCAACAGAGAGAATGTAAAGGCCGGCATAGCAGTTCTATGGGCCAGTAGTACGCAGGATAGTTAATGTATATTCCACAGGACTGCAATGCAGTGATGTTTAAGAGATGGTCAAAGCTGTTACTACATACATGGAGCACAGCTCCACTGCTACCATGAAACGTCACAAAAATAATTAATTGGCAATGAGGTCTTGCTATTATACTCACCCAAAAGACAATTACGGAAGCCAGTGAAAGAGAGTTACTGATACAATAAATTTTCCCCAAGAAAGTCACAGACCACCCAATGGACTAACGGGAGGAAAAAAGTTACTCCTGGTCTTGCTTCTTGTCAACATATGTCATGAAACAACAAAAGATTTATTCCAAGATTACAGACATATTCTAAAGGTGAGTAACTGACCAGTTAAGACTATATTATTTGTTAAAAATAATCCATGATTCCAAATCAAATATAGGGAGTTCATGAGATAGAGGTTCTTGCCAGCAGCTTTAAAAATAAAAACTTTACCTGAAAGGTCTTTCACATCTCACTAAAAACGCAAGTTGGGCAACCAGAATTCAGTTGCCAAATTTGCAGACAACAAAAACGAGCCAGCCACAGAGAAGCCAATACAGCACGACAAAAGCTGCAAAAAACTTGATCCCATCAAGGTGTACAAGTAGAAGTGCCATTTACACAAGCTGTCATTTATGATTCTTTAAAGGCAGGGGAGTTGCTGTCCCCAGCCCCATTTCATGCTTGCATCAAGCAGCACTACTGCTCAATAACCAGATACTGGGTTTTGAGCTATGAGACGCACCTATTTGAGACACAATAGCCCTGAAATTTCTTTGCTTCTGCAATGCCAGCAGTGAGTCCTTTCCGACACTATTCTGACACAGGTATCGAGGCATAAGCTTTTCCTCTGCTAGAAAACCATCTTGATGCAGGATCTTATTAAGAAGTCTGTACATGTGACTGTCTATATTGTCTGAATTCTCCTCACACAGGTTTTATGGACTGGTCAGTACTAGTCTTATCAAAGAGAAGAGCTGTCATTGAATTTGCTTATTGAGTCCCCCACTTTCATCATTCCACTAATTAAGCCAAATCAGCAGGGCTCAGAGCAAATTGGGGGGCAAGGGGGGCAGAAAGGAGGACGGCTGCGCAACAGATGAGCAAACAGAAAAAGCAGCATGTATTTGCTAGGCCTCCCCATAGCCTAATTAAAACCAATTTCAAAATGTATTCATTTTAATTTGAAAACTACATTTTATGATGGAAAAATGTCATTCAGAAAACTTTAGAAGGCATTTATTCACACTGGAAATCATATTTAAGAAAAAATAGGAAAAAATTGCTTCAGGGAAAAAGAAACATTGATCAAACTTTTATAGCTGCGGCTTGCATTAATGAGAACACGATCCCTTATAATAAAGTCAGAGATGATAAACAGCTGCAGTGACAATACAGCACTTGTTCAGATACAGAACAAGGGCAGCCATAAGTGGTATACAGCATCTTTGTACGTCAACAATGGCACGCTGCTCCTCCTAGCACTGGGACACATTACGCGCACAGACACAGCACGGTGCTTTGTTCCAGTAGCTACACACCATGGAGCACCAAGGGATGTAGAGACGGACGTTGTAAACACAGAAACAATATAGCCCTAGCTACTACTGGCGAGGCCCTAACAATGGTACTCCCTTCAGAAAAGCATCCTATGTTCACACATCATATGCTCTTCTGGTGTGTATGTTGAAGCAGGCCCAGAGAAATGCCACTCAAATCAATGGAGTGTGAAGTGAGGTAGGAGACTGGACTATAAAGCAGCACTTCAATATACAAACACACTTGAAATATAATGTAAATACCTACAACATCATATTATTTGGCCCATTAAGGTCTATACCCTCATCTAGCAATGACCAATCCTTCTGGCTGAAACAGAAAAGCAAATCCCACATAGCTATTGGGCAATACGCTATGCTGTACATGGAAGTAAGCATCTGCATCAGCAGAACTCAACTTGCACTCTGAGACAGAAGAGACACTTATTGAGTCCTAACATCTCAACTATATTAACAAAGAAATGTAGCGGGGGGGGTTTTCTCATTTTGCATTGAAAAAGAGGGACGGAGGATTTATTCTTCACATATTTTGCAAATAAAGCTATTTCTAAAATAAACATGCTGCTCAAGGATGTATCAGAATAGGATTCACATACTCCTGCAACATTAGTCTAGCTTTTCTCTGCACTTCCAGCTTGCCATTATCCTACCAAATCTATGGCTGGCAGGTAATTTCCCAAGAAAACAACTCTTCTGTTTCCTACTTCAGCAAAACCAAGGTATCATACACTTGCTCATTTCCTGTCAGTCAGTCTGCTGTGGGCTCAACAGTTCCCAGGTTCTCTGCCATGGAGCCAAGAATCTGAAAGTCCAAATTCTAGCAACAGCCTCAAAGCTCAAGGCTTCCTTCATCAGGTGGGGAGACAGAGAAGATGGCAGAGTTCCCTGAGCTCCTGGTCAAGGCCTGGCAATCCTGGGACAGAAGATGGGGTGGGGACCTCATCTGCACTGGGGACTTCCCCCAAGACAGCCAGATGCTCTGTTTGAGAAAAGCCAAAATGAAAATATGGAATTTCCTTTCAGAGGGAAGTATAAAGATATAAAAATGTAGTTTTCATACTGAATCTCAGCACAAGGATTTTCTTAACATCAGTATTTCCCACAGAAAGAAAATGCCATGTCTTGAGCAGCTTTAACTGTAACTCGTATCCTGCCAGGAGCAACTGCTTTCCAGCAAGTAACTGATTACAGGAAGATTCATCAGGATTCTATTTGGATCTTGTTGCCATTAAAACAATACAGTAAATTAAAAAAGAAATTATTTACTGTGACATAAGCATCAAGAGTTTCATGGCTTGAACTGCTACTTCATGGTCCTTGTCCAGAGGCATGGACACAATTCGATCCTAATGGATGTAAAATGACAATAAAAAGATGTAACATGGTTTGTTCTCAATAAACATGTATTTTTGCTACAGCTAGATCATCTACACTAGTAGAACAGAGATTTATTTCAGCAGCTATTTCCTAAGAGACATAAGGCAACTTGATTACTACCAAGTAGTTCCCCAGCCCCTGAAAATTAACAGCATGTTAATTTTTTAACTGAATTAATCATGTAGTAATATGTTATTTTTTATAGATGTAATGTATGCGTTCACAAGAAATCAACTACAGTCTACAAATTAAAAGTGACTGACAACTTGTTTCTAAGATGTTACTACTGGCACTTCAGTATGTTACACGAAGGTAAGCCTCAAATTACAAGCGTTGTATAATCAGTTTCTCCCATCAACAATGAAGTGCGTGTACCTGCCCGTTACAGAAGCCAGTGCCTTGCTGGAAAGACAATTAGGACTTGAGTCCTAAAGGTACTTCATGGAAGAGCAGGAATATTTCTGACCTCCAGAATTCACACTACTGTAACTTGGTACACATGGAAACACCTCAGAAAATGGTGGAAATTTTCCTGTCCTATGTACCCAAGAACTCGCACTCCTCGGTGTGGTCTACATTTTTAAGGTGTATTCAACCTTTGGACTTGCTTGTTTTGGGACTAGCAGCTTTCTCACTTAACGTATCACTTCTAAATCTCTACATTCATTTTACTTGGCACCTTCCTTTTTCTCACCACCCAGCTGTGAGGTGTGGGAGTCCATGAATCCTGAGTTTGAACACAAGGGTAACAGAGGGAATATGCAAAACTCCCACTTGTAGGAAATGGATTGATGGTTATATGATTACATTTCCCATCACTGAGAAAGCATACTTTGAAAGATGCCAGATCAGTCTGTATTTTGTGTGTAGCTGTTTGGATTTCTTTTGTTTAGAGGGGAAGGAGCTCTTGAGCTTTTTTGATGGGGAGACGGAGTTTGCAATAATCCATTTATATATCACCCTCCACACAGAGAGAGATCGCAGTACAAACAGACTGGAGCTATTTCATGAGTCTTTGAATACCAGTCCTGCAGTTGGTTATGCAGCTTATAGCAACCTTCTTTTACACAGAAAGATAAGGAACTACCACATAACTGTTTAAAACGGGTTAATCTTAGAGAGCAAAGTTTCAGTCTGAATATCTACTCTTAAGATACCAATATTAATCTATTTCTTGTTCTTTGAAGATGTGCTGTAGGTATTTTTTGCTATTAGCAACTGCTTTGACAAACAGATAAGCCCTGCACCTTTTGCAAAAAGAACATGAATCACCACCACATGCAGGCATCGATTATGTACTGATTTAGAGGGACTGAGATATCACTTACAGCATCATAAACTTTCTTATTCAAATACTTAAAAGGTACAGCCCCATTAGGACAAGAGTAGCTGGCAAAATCATTACCAATGGCAGGATTAAAAAAAGTAAAGGATTTTTCTTCTTAAATGAGTCAGGATGTTGGAACACAATAAAGGCAGTGTACAGGGTCAGTGTGGTCACAGAATAAGCTCTCAAAATTACAGCATATCACCTGACTTGTTCAGAAAGGAGAGAAAGGATCCTTCTTCAAGATTCTTACTGATATGGTGGATCAACAGAGAGCCATCCCCACATCAGTGTGACACATGGTCAGCCAATCCCATTATCGGGAGCAGCAAAAAAAGGGACCTTTAGGTATGAAATTCTTTGTCATCTGCCAAAGACCTTCAGAAAAAAATCTGGGCCATTCTGGAAGAATGGTGGAGGTAACTGACCACAGTACATGCTAACACCATTTTGTACATGAACTAGAGTGAAAGAGAAAACTCCACAGAAACAGAGGGAAACGTCTCTGCAAAACTCCTTCACCCACTCAGTCAAGCAGGCTGCTTCTGCAGTACTCTAAGCTCCCGTCAGTCAAGAGAGTGAGGAGATCAGCTCTCATCAAAACATCACACCCTGTGTATACACCCAGCCCAGACTCGAAAAACAGCAAATAGTAATCTATTTACCTTGAACCTGCTGGTAAAGAGATCCATCCTGGAAACAAGTTCTTTTCTGCTATAAATTCCTTGCAGTCCCAGAAGACACTTCAAGCGCACTTCAGCTTGCTAGAAGACAAAGAGAAACCAACTAACAGTAAAAAAAAAAGTACCTTTGACGTTATTCACTATTGGCATTTATATTACTTAAATAAGAGTTCTTTGTGGGTGCCTACAGCAACCACCCAAACAGCGCCTCAGCATCTTTATCAGTGATATCAGTACCATTTTGTTTGTGTGCGCACACACACGCGTCTCTCTCACACACACGCACACACAGAGGAAGCCTGCAGTGAGCCAAACGTAAAGGTGGCATCAATGTCTGTGTTAGGTTCCCTAAGAGCCAAAGGAACCCTCACAGGCCTTACAGTTAATAAAAGCAACAGCATGCAAAAGATGCAGTGATACTCAGCATCAAAGACTGGTGCTATTCAGCTGTTAAAGACACACAGTCAAGTGTACGGATGACCTAATTAATACAACCAGCACTCTCCTGTACATCAGACTTTGTTTGCTTCCTTTCAACATTTGACTCGGACAACTGTTAAACGTGGAGAAGGACTCGCAAGAAATTCTGGAAGATTCCCAGAGGAAGAGGTACACCTTAGAAATGCACTGGCTTATCCCTGTGGGCTCTTACAGATACAGAGTTAAATATTTTGCCTTCTCCCTATTTCTGTTTCACACTACAATGCTGCATTTTAAGCATTCTATGAAGAAACGTGTTGCTTTGAGTTTGGCCTAATTAGTTAATTTAGGCAAAACACATTTATCCCTGAAAGGTGTTATTTCACACCATTAGTACTGCTGCTTCATAGATGTCTCCAAAAGAAGCCTTTTCTTTATCCAGCTTTTAAATTATCTCATGCATATTGCTACACTTTTCAAATGACAAAGCTTTAAATGGTATAAGGAGAGTCATTTTGAGGATCTAACATAGAAAAATCACTGTGTTCTTTAAACTTATAATGCTAAGGGTATCAGCAGAGACACTTAAATGAACTGCAGGCTTTGAATCAGTCTCTTCATGTTTCTTCCTTAATTCCTCTTGCTAACAATAGCAGTAAGAATAATCAAGGAAACCCAAGAAAGGAGACCACCTACACACAGGCTATCCATTACTACAAGTTCCTGTTCACCTACTGAGATGGAAAGCAAAGGGTGATACCCAGTAGCAGGCTTTGACCAACAGTTTTGCATAGGACAGCTTTTTGCTAGAAAGACAAAATGAAAGATCAACAGGTAACAATAAGAACTGCTCTCTAATCTGCCCGTGACACACCAGCAGTACATATTCTATACCGCACTTTAAAATCAAAGGCCTTGTCTGAGAAAGAGACTGTTGCCCACACCTGCTGCTTCCTACAGCCACAAGGGCTCCACAGCACAGGGCTCACTCGCAAACAGTCCCAACTTGGTACCCATCACTGCACACTGGCACCAACTCAGCTCAAACAATGTACTGCAATCCTGGATTCAGCTGCCCTCCGTATTTTATCACAAGGTTTTTCTTGTGAAGAGGGACTGCATTAGTGCTTGGGGAAAAGGAAAAAAAAAACCAAGGAAAAAAAGTTTGTGAGGTTTGTCAGATGGTCATATAGCCCTTGGCACAGAGCTAGTAACATCATCTGCACTTGTCAGTCAGGTGGCATTCAAGCGTAGGTCTGCAGATACAAAGTTTAATACATTAAACTACACCAGCTGCCTTCTAAGGCATTCTGTTCCCACCCAAAAGCTCTCAGTCATAACCCTATATCTATATGTTTCTTCCAAGTGTTGAGACAATTAAGTCTAGCAACTATGAACAAATAACTACTTCTACTACGACTAGTTCTGCTGTTTTCCTATGTTTTCAGCTGCGTTTTCTCCCTCTCAACCACCTCTCCTTTTGTAGATTCATCACGCCTCATAGCTTCCTGATCATTCAAAATTATTCCACGTCCTTCTAAAACTATCTCACCACTTACCTTCAACTCCTTTCGACAGTAACGTAGGCAAGCACAAACACCCAGTCATCTACTCCCCTCACCAGAACTACCATCCTAACCTTGACGGAATACCTGCCTGTTCAGTCTTTCAAAGCTGTGACAGAGTGAAAGGGAATTACGTAAGCACATTTTCAGGATACTCTGAACACATGCTGTCCCTCAGCTGTATCACGGTATATTTTAACCCTGACCTGCAAATAGACTGGCAGAAAACATCAGTTAAGATGGTGGGCAGCTCTAGCGTGACAGAGAGCCCTGCATGGGCTCCAGCACCGCTTAGATGCATTCAGTTACGAGATTTCAGCCTCACCACTATCACAGAGACAGGGCCATTCAATAAGTGTTACAAACACAGGCTGGGACCTGGATGATTTGACGGGGTGATCGGGGCATTTTTTTGTTCTCAACGCTCCCCAAATAATAAATTGGAAAAAATAGATCTACTTCCAAATTACTCCTGAATAGCAAAGACAATCCAGCTTCTCTCTCCTGTCAAGGCAGAACAATTTAAAAAATTACCCTCCCCCCTCAAAAAAAATCAGTACATATGCACAGAGATGACCTGTGAAGCAGAAAACCACCATGTTAACATGACCATTTGAAGAAAGAACTATTTCAGAAGTAGCCATAGCCATGGGATCAGTTTCTATAGCCAGGCTGAACAGGAGGCAAAGCTAGAAACCCTTTCAATTTCCTGAAATTTGCCAGAAGGATCACATGGTCAGGACACAACAGTCCATCTGAACCACAAGTTCCTGTTTCCACAGGATTTCTTTGGGTGTTTTTCCTAGTCTAATGAGAAAACCTCAACAACTTGCCCTGAAGTTCCAGACAAATCTAGTCTAACATGGTGGAAGTTCCCAAGTGTGCATCTCTATTCCCTTCGCCTTCGTGTTTGCTAGTTCTGCCTTCCACTTTCGTCATCCTTATTCTTCATTTTCTCAAATTTTCTGGTCTATAATTCTGAACTTTTTACATAGCCTTTCCTTTCAACACCCGCTGCTCAGATCAGCACCCGTTTGATTGGATCTGGATGCCGATTTAGTAGCTATATATTCCCTTGGAAGAACACTAGTGACTTTGAGCACAAGTTAGGTGCCTGGGTTTCACAAATGCACCGATAGGTGACCGGGCTTGCATATAACACTGTTCAACTGCACACACATGTCAGATTTAGTATCAACTGTTGCTTGGTCTTCAAAAATAAATTTATTAAATTATTTCTAGCAGATGAACATAAACTACTCAAAAATCTATCTTTGTAGCACTGTTCCCCAAGTCTCGCTGGCCAAAGACAGATCCTCCCATGCAATTTTGAGCATATTACCACTGAGTTTGGAGCATCTTCTTGCACCTAGGAAATAACCTTTCACATAAAAATACGATGTTTCACATCAGGGTATAATGGCAAAATGATATCTCACAGGGAAGAAAGAATGATTATATTCAAATAAAAGACTGAAGACAAAATGTTAATTTTATGCTTACTTCCCCCTCCTCTCTCTGCTTTAAAGCCTCCCAAATGACTCAACTTAATCTCTGTTTACAGCACTGTAGATGATCCTGGCCAGGTTTCCCCCCCCTGTTCGAATACTTTTGTGGTTGTTCCACTCTGAGGCCTAAATTATTTGGCAAACTTCTCTACGTTATATTCTAGAAGAAAATTGGCTCTGGGAGATATCAGTTTCTTGCCGCCCACCCCCAACAAGACGGGATGGAAATGCTTATTAAGGAGGAGTAGTGGGAAATAACATTCAGATGTATATAAAAGCACTGCTGCCCCTGTTGCTGCCAAAAAATGCCCTGCTCTCATTTTAGAATCGGGCAATTTAACAGTGGCTGCAAATCACAAAGCACAGCCGGGACTGCAACCACCGCTAATGGCACACTACCAGGTCTCAGCCAAACATGGAATATGGAAGACTTCTCACTTTATCTCACTCTGCTTGCATGTGCATTGCTTTCAGATAATAAACTTTAGGAAAAAAAAAAAAAATCATTTCCAGCTCCCAATAAATGACATTGAGTGAGCTATGTGCATTAATCACAGACACCAGATGTTAATTTTCACTGTACAGCACTGGGAACGAAGACACATCGTCTTCAAAAATTATTTTTTCTTTTGAGAGTTCTCCCAACTGAACATATACTAAAAACATATTCTGATCAGATAAAATTTATACAGGAAAAGATGACAGTTCTTGATAGATTTGTTGTTCTAAAAATCTAAATACCTTTACAGTAACGGCACAACACAAGGACGTAAGAGGCTTTGTGCTCCCTCTCCTGGAGGTGTGGTAAACTACACAAACAGAGCACAAACAACCTACGGCTGACGCAAAACTGAGGATGTCTCAGAATCTGCACAGAAGCTTTAAAAGGTGGCCTGCAGAAGTACAGTGCACCAATTTTGGTGATTAGCCATTTGCGATAAATACTCCTGTCCCCCTAAAATCTCTCATGTATTTTGGAAGCATGAGAAAAAGCCTATTTTTGACTTACTGTTTCCTTTTGGTTAGCTTTTTTTTGTTTTGATGGGGATTTTTTGGTTTTTTTAAATGTGCCTGTACTCAAAAAGAAAAAACAAACTTACTATAAGGAAAAGGAGAAAACCCTTTGTGAAATGACTGGACTTTGTGTAAACCCATATCTATATTAATTTCACTCCAAATGAGAACAGCAATATTGAAGACTATTTTACTATAGGCAGCATCTATTTTTTAATTTTTATAAAATAAAACAAAATTTTAACTGTAGCCGTCAAACCTAAAAGGAGAATTTTAGACATCTTTTCATGCTGCATGTGCTCAAAGGATACAGGCCATTTTACAATTCAGTAATAGCTCCCAATTCAGTAACATATAAAAATAACTGCACACACAGGGATGCACACTGCTACAGAGCTGGAAAAAGTGTTCTCTGTCATTTAGTGCTACGGTGACTTTAAAAATAAAACCTGAAATGGGGAAGAAAGTAAATTCCTTTTTGTACCACTACAGTCTCAAATATCTACTCTCAAGAATTTAAACATTAGGATTCTTTAAAAAAAAAATTTTTTTTTAAATTAAATTCCCATCTACTGCCCCCAGTAAGAAAAATTAAAACTTTACCTTATCATACAGCATCCACCCAATGTATTTTAAGTAGCTATCATTTAAAAAAGCATCTGGGTATGTTTTCATCCAGCTGCCAATTTCTTCAATGCAAGTTGCTCGAATCTCGGGGATCACATCACTGTGAAATTATAAATTTGTAATATTAATACATTAAAAATGCTTAATGTATATTGATTATATTATTTGCAATATTTTTATTTTCTGGAATTACAGAAGCATGTATAATCCAAAATGCTACAAGTATCTTCATACTAATGTTCTAAGTTAGTCTTCAGTGGACAATGTTTCATGCTACAAACGTTTCATGCAATAATTATTTTGTAATTCTGGATATCTTCTCAATCACAAAGGCACTGCTCTACAGCCAGCAGGAAGAACTTAAGAAACATCTTCAGAGATGTCCTTTCAAAAGCCCAAATTCTTTAAAATAATTTAACTGCTACACTTTCCCTGACACCATCAGTGCCTCTAGGATGTTTATAACTTGATTCTGCTGCGTGGTCATCAGGATGACTTCTTCAAGCAGTGTCCAGGTTGTGATCAGATCTTAGGTAACTGATCACGCTGAGTCTGCAGCAATGTTTTACTGCTCGCTATACTTCAGCCACAAGATCAAATAGAAGTCAGGGAAGACGGCTTTAAACCATGGGATGTGTTGGACTCCTTGGATATGGAGGCAACGGTGAGCACTGTGCGCGTGTGGATTGAGAACCCAGTGAAGTTTGCCCATTCCCACAGGGTGAATGTTGCGCCTGGCTCTAAAGAGCCAGCCTCCAAAGATATCCATATATTGGTCATTGAAGGCTTCCTGCTCTACAGTCACAAACCACTGAAAGACCTGCTCAACGTACGCTACTACCTGGCAGTTCCATATGATGAATGCAAAAGGAGGAGAAGTACCCAGAACTGCACTGTCCCTGACCCACCGGGTCTCTTCGATGGACACGTCTGGCCCACGTACTTAAAACACAGGAACAGGACAATCTGAGCAAGAGTTTCTTGGGAATGCAGATACACACCACAGCTTTATTTTCATTCTTACCAGTAACGGTTTAGAAACGTCCCTTTGAAAATAGCATTCATCATGTTCTGTATCTCTAGAAGCTTACACTCATACTGAAATACAAAGAGAACTGAATGTTAATGTCGGTCACGCAATTCACACATGAAAAATTTGCATCAGTGCACTTACAATACTACTGTGGTACAAACTGATCGTGTTTACACATAAAGTGAGTGGTCTGTATCTACACTAGCAACTGGCCTTTTTGTAACTACGTCCTGATGAAAGGTTTATCAGGTAACAACTGTCAGCCTGGATAACAAGGTACTCGTTTCATATAGTGAGTCTTGATCTATCGATACTCAGAAAGACACAGCATAACTACGAATCAACCTTCACATATAGGTCCAAATTCTCTTTTTATGCACTTAAACAGAGATAGAAGAAAGGCAGACAAGGGAATTTTCAAAATGCACCTATTCCACAATCAGCATGTATTTTAACCAAGCCCTGAAAATCTAGTAATGAACTTCTGTAAACCTAAGTCACTTCATAAAAACATTCTCTCATCAACAGCAGCAGGAAGGGTGACAAGTTTGGGTTTACACACACACACACACACACATTTCCCCTGTTTTTTCCCATGAGATCAGACTTATGATGACACTAAAAACACATTTCCCCTGTTTTTTCCCATGAGATCAGACTCATGATAACACTAAAAACAGCTGTTTCACCCAAACACTTCTTCCCGCAAAAAAAGGGGTTGTTGTGATAACAAAGACGCCCACGGATATCCAAACCTCAGAACAGAGATAATGGATTCTAAGGTCAGGAGAAAAGGAACTATGCTTGATGTTTATACATTAAGTCACCTCTACCCTCAAGCCAGAATTATTTCTCACGGTTATAGGCCCGCCTCAGAGTTGATAAGGAGTTGTCTGGCTGAGCAGGGAAGAAATGACAGAAACTGAACAGCATGAAAGATACAGGTCATACCTGAAGTTATGACCATTTTTACAATGCATTACTTATACGGAGATGATAGCTATGCTGTGTCCTTTTTAATTAATTGAAATTCAGTGCAAGAACTAACATTTTGGCTTGTAATCTGTACAAAAATACGCAAAACTGCACTCTCACAATACCAGAGCTACTGACACAATTACACGTGTCTGTAAATCCACAATTGTGTAGAGATCAAGGGCTAACGATGCCAATGTAGAGAAGCATGGTAGGACAGACATCACAAGCTAACGGTACTTAGGGCAGTTATTACCTTAGTCATTTTTGTACCACTTAATCTAGCCAGTCACCACTGCTCTGCACCATGCACTAGATAAATATATAAACTTCAAAGAACTGCAGTGACCCAAAAGCAAACTGTCAGCAATCCCTCTTTTTACATCTTCACACATCTCCCATACAAGACACCTGCCTAACCTCTTTCCTTTTTCTCTCGAGCTGGTCAAGTCTGTAATTGGTCCTCTTGCCACTTATCCTCCTCTTCTCCACCTCATATAATCTCTGAGCATTGTGCTTGTTGACATCAAGGTTCAGATGTACGCTTACAACTGCTGTCAGTAGTTTCATTGCTAAAAAGGAAACAAACCAACATACTTCGCTTAGCTCAGAGATATATCGCATAAATATAATCACCACTTTACCACAAAAAGGATACGGTTAGCCAAATCCAGTTTATTATCCAAAATACGAACACTACTGACTATAGTAATTTGGTTTAAAATACAGTGTTTATTTTAAAGACCGACAACGATCAAAACCGGAACATTTAGTGATACTACTGGTGATTTCCAACTTTTGTCCAGGGTTCTAGTCAGAAAATTAATTTACTGGGCAACTCTCTTCTTGGTTCATATAATTTTGATTTTTCTGCAAAAAAGCTGTGGAACAGGTGATTTTCAGTAACAACAACAACAACAAAAAAAAAAGTGAAACTGGCCCATAAAAGCCTGAGAATCTTAATATTTCACTTGAATTTACAAAAAATTCACATTCCTCTAAGGATCACTAGATGGTTTGCATAGATTTCAAGTGGATTTTTTGAGCCTTCAAAGCAAACAGTATGCTTTAGAACAAATTACAATTTAAGTGCTCTTTGCATGGCAAAGAGTGCATTTACTGGCTTTCAGGGAAAAAAAAAAGAAGTAGCAGCATCTATAGTATCATCATGCTGCATGAAACAAAAATATGCAACAAGCAATGCTCTTTTTAGCACAGGCACCACAAGAACAGCAGCTCTCCAAAGGAAGCTTTTTTAGGCGAAGCATTTAATGCAACCTCATATACAGTATTTAGTGGAGGGAGGAAAAAAACAAAATAGAAAACTGACTGTGAAAAATCAGTTAATGAAAGAAAAAAGCATCAGAACACAGCATAATTCTAAGGTTACTCATGTCAGGCACTAAAGAAAATTTCCTTAGAAAGCAAAAATTGGTCTAGATCTATCATAGCTAAAGAATTCAAATTCCATTCAGATACACATGGGAAAAAATAATTCATATTACAGGAACATACATTAGGAGGAAGGCACTGTCAATGCATAAGAGAACAACTGCTCTAGTAAAGACATCTTTTCAATTTTGAGCAGTTTTGTTTGTACACAAGGCCACAAAACTCATGATCTACAGCAACTCTGTGAGTAATTTTACCTGCGAAAGTACTTGTGTGTCTAAATGCTCTGACCATGGAGTCCGCCAAGCCTGTAAGCAGCGAGATGATAGTGTCCATCAAGTAGCTATCATACAGGATGCTGCACTGGCACTGTTGGACAAGTACCGCAATAAATTCACAGAAATTGGCCTTGAACTTCTTCCAATAAGGTCCTGTTCTGATCAGCGGGTAGTCTTCATTGTCCTGCACAAGAAAGAAGAGAAAACACACACGTTAGTTTTGTCTGTGCACACCATTTACATCTCTCCCACTGAATATCAGAGAGTTTTGCTGACAGACAGCTTCACTTCAGCCCCCCGTAACTTTCTTCATGGTTATTACTCCAAAGTAGGGACATGCAACTAGGTTACAAGCGAGCACAGAGACAAACTACCTTCATTAGAGCTACACTGTCATGAAAAGCTCACATCTGAAAGCCATGTATGTGAGGTAGCTCTGAACAGACAGGTGCGAAAGGGCATGTGAAGCCACAGCATCACAAATAACTTTCACTGGCATAAGCTATGAGCAGTCCTGGCCTCTTCTACTTTCCCACAAGTAGCAGTGCTTTCCCCCTTCCCCATCCTTCCTGTTCCTGCAAGCGTGTGGTATTATCCAGGAGGAAACTCAAGTGACTGAAAAGTGAAAACAAACAACTGTGGTGTGAGCAGGATGGGACTGTTTTCCTCCGCAGCACTGCCAGCTTAAGGGGTTTTTCAGCCTACAGCTTAATGACAAATACAGAGTCATTCACCTATACCATCAGCACCTAGGTCTCTGAAAACCTCCACAGAAACAGTGAGTAGGCAATACCTTTGACATTACACCAAAAGCAAGTTACAAGAGTGTTCACAGTACAGTTGGTACTGTCAGAAAGAAAGCAGACAGATGGCAGGTCAAATGACTTCTCACACAAAATAGCACACCTCATGTGAAGAGCACACTAGGAAGACTGTAGGTGGCAACCTCAGACAGCGTAAACATTCACTTCACTTGGACCTCACAGATCCCAGGAATGGCTCTGAATATGAATTTGCATTTTGATAGTTTCCAGGTGTGAATGGAGCCAGGGAACTCCAAAACTTCACTCACTACGGAAAACATCCTGAAGGCAGGTAGTCCTTTGCTAGTTGGTCAAGCACCTTCTCAGACGTATTCTAACATGCAGCTTCACACCCAGAACAACCTCACGTACTTACAAAGTGCCCTTCAGGCTCTTCTCTTGTAACTTGTTTCCAAAGCACGGGATCCACTGCTTTCTTGAAAAATAAATGCAAACAGACTGATCTCAGGGATGCCCGTAACCCAAAGCATATTGGGAACTTGGAATTCGGGATGCATTCTTGATCAGGTTGTAACAGTCAGTTCCGAGCTGAACAGCAGTAGCAAATGCCAAGACAGAAAGGGAAGCCCCCAGTAGGCCCCATTTAATGCTCCTTGATCATAACACAGACAGCAGAAAGACAACCTACAACTTCAGGAAATACCTACTTTATCACCATAGCTTACTCCTCAATGTGAAAAGCAGCACAAGTACAGGAAGACATGTCACTTTTTAACAGCATTCCTACTGTCTGTGTTTATCATACTGGAACATCGTTTAATGGTAACATGCATACTATAAGTATATAGGCAGCACAATGGGCACACCACCTAAATTTAGGCACCTAACCTGAGATTCCCTTAGATTCCCTCCATAACCAGTAGAGAGAAGCAACTCTACTTCCAGAATCCAAGTTCGATTAGGCACTTAACATAGGTTCTTCCAGAGAACAATTCAGATCACTCAACTGAGGCTCCTGCTCTGACTCACCCCGGAAATGTTTCCTTCTCTCATACGGAGTCCATGGAAAGAGAGGAAAGTCAAAGTGAAGTGCCAATAGGGAGTTAAGACGAATGCCCCACAAAGCTGGAAGTGTTTTATGGGAAGGGGCATTACAGAAAAGCTGTTTCTTCTCTCAAGCAATCAACCTTCCAATCAAACATTTATGTTTGCAAGGGAACGTTTTGGTGAAACAAGCCTTCGAACAAATCTGCCTGTCAAAACCCCTGTGTGCATGCAGGCACATGCATGTACAGATGCACACACACACGTGTGTGTAGAGCTTGCTGGAAGGGATGGGGAATGCTCTCGAACACCACTGCAACCTGACATACACCAGTCTGTTCAAAATGCTGATGTCCCTTTGACACCAATAGCAAGAAACAGGCACTTCAAAAGCGTGAGCATGTTTATCCAAACCAGAGGTCTACAACAGACCAGACGAAGCAGACCTCAGCAGTGCACGATTATCTCCATTCACTAATGTGCAGTTTAAGACGACCAGTTCTGATGTATTCGCCTGCACTGGACACAGAAAATACAGTCACAGAAAATGCTACACTGCAGTTGCAGAGAACGACAAGAGTCCTACCATGTCCACCGGCCAAGTAACTGTCAGGATCCAAGGATAGGCCATGAATTTCTTATACTGCAACCCAGTTTCCTGTAATGCATGAGACAAAATTTTAAAAGCTTTTCGATGAAGCAGCACAGTTAATTCATAAAGACAAAAACATCACAAAACATGCGTCGTAGTTAAAAGGCTATTAAAACTCAAGACAATTTGTATTACAGGTGGCTCATATAATCTAACGCATTAAACAAAAGCTAATTCCTTCTCATCTCGGTATTTTTTTATTTATAAACAATGACAGGAGAAAAACACACTTTTATATAAAACCAGAGTTTTCTTGCTACAAGAGACAACTTGTTTTTAAAATTTATAAGCAAACATATACAAGGTATGATCATTATTAATTCCAAGATTTGGCTCCTCAGCAAGTCTAAGTATATATTGCTTTCTAACATTTAGTAACTAGGTGCAAGCATTTCAAATTATAGAGAAATGCTTTCAGCACTAGCGTGACTTGATTCAGAGATCTTTACTCAATCCTGCAATTATTCCAAGACAAAAGCAATGAAATCTACACTTCTTTATTAGGCTCAATGAAGCACAACAAGTATTTCTATCCCCATCTGGCTGTACAGTTATGCATCAAACTCAACTCTTCCATTGCTAAACATTTCAGCAACAAAATGGGAGAGGAGAGGAAAGCTACAAAAGAATAAAGAACTGCAAGAAATAAAATACCACCTACAGGAAGAAAAGCAGAAGAAAGAAACAGAATAGTTTAAGAAAGAGGGAAAACAAAAAGCAGTGGTCCTAAAGACAAGCCTACCTCTCCACTGAGGAATATCACAGCCCACAAAGAGGAAATAAACGCCTCAATGACCATATTAGAGCCATTCTCTGCTCTCAACGTCAGTATAAGTTTTCACAGAATCACAGAAAGACAGAAATTGAGAGGGACTCTTTGAGATCACCTAATCCAACCCCACCTGCTCAAGAAGGGTCAGCCAGGGCAGGCTGCCCAGTGTCATGTGTGACCAGCACCCCCTGCTCCCAACCCCTGGTAATGTGGTTAGCACAACTAATGCCTTTCTATGAGACAAGCAGCCATTCCCTCTGACCAAGAGGGTCAAATATTTGTTCCCTTTACCTCATTATCAGGCCCTAAAGGTCAAGTGAACCAAGGAGACAAAACAAACATTTCTTCTTCCCCTCCCTAGTGGCCTCAAGGTTCCTGGGCATCAGGCTGATTACTCCCTACCTTATTGGCCTTGAAGGTTCCAGGCACCCAGCCAACCAGATGGTGGTGATGACCTCACCAAAGAACAGGGAAGCATCAGAACATTGAGAGCGCTGACAATAAAATCAAGTGCTTGCAAGCGGAAACTTGGACCAGAGCTGCTGCTGGACAGTGAGACCTGTGACCCCTCAGTGACAAAGACACGAACAGGGAAGCATCAGAACATTGAGAGCGCTCACAATAAAATCAAGTGCTTGCAAGCGGGAACTTGGACCAGAGCTGCTGCTGGACAGTGAAACCTGTGACCCCCCCAGTGGCAGAGACATCTCCACCATGATCTGCTTCCTCCAAGGACTG